TTCCCTAAGCCCTGCCTGCCCCTTTTGCAGGGGGTAGAGCTGTGTGTGGAGTCAGGCCAAGTCTTTGTTATTCATTATGTATGTAATGAGGATCCCTGGTGGCACAGTGGGTTAAGTGTTGAGCTGCAGGGTTGATGGTTCAAATCCAGCAGCTGCTCTGAGGGAGAAGGCTTTGGCTGTCTGCTCCTGTGGAAAGTCTGTAGAGCAGTTAATTCTCTGTCCGGTAAGATTGCTGTGAGTTGTAATCAGCTCAGTGACAGAGGGCTTGGGTTTGGGTTATCCATGTGAGGAAACCCTGAGCGGTGCGAAGAGTTAATGAGCTCAGCTGCTAACAGAAAGCTTGGGAGTTTGAGTCCACCCAGAGACAGGGTGGGTTTGGTAATCTCTTTCTAGAAAACCAGTCACTGAAAACCACATGGAGCACAGTTCTACTATGGCATGCGTGGGATGGCTAAGAGTTGAAATCCACTTGATGATCCATGTGACTTTGAGTGTGTTTTTTGTCCTTTCTGGGCCTCCATTGTCCCCTTCCACAACACTATGATGAGGCAAGTGACTTTGTCACCAACATCAGTGCCCCCCTTCCCCATATCCCTACTAAATGGAATGTGCATGGAGTGTTGTCAAAGGGCCAACGCACACGTACTCAGTCAACAGAGGCTGAGCTTTTAGACTCGTAGAAACCAATTTAGAGATGGAGCTCTCTTTACCAGGAGCAGACACCTGGGCCAGTGGGGAAGGGATGCTCAGGCTGACCTGAAGGAGAAAGACTCCTTTCCCGTTCCTCTATAGATGCCCTTGAATTACCTAGTCAGCACCCCAGGACTGTGTGTTCTAGACTGACACAAGATGTTCCCAATGCCTCCAGAACTTTCCTCACCTTGGTGTGGCCAAACCTGTACTGCTCCCGGTCCACATCAATGGAGCTCAGAAGTTTCTCAGAAGCATTCTTGCTATCAATAAACTGTCCTTCCGGAATGGCACAGGCATTGAGGATCCGGTACCTGGGGAGAGACTGCCACAGGTCAGCTCCAGGGCTATAGATGGCGACAGGTGAGCAGTTGGTACAAAGTCACCTGACTGTCCGGTCATTGACAGAGAGCCCAGAGGGTGCTCCCTGAGGACGGCACCCTGCCCATCTCCGCTCAGGCCCAGATGCCCCATATCCCTGCAAGGGTCCTCTCCAGCCATTCTGTAGCGACCACAAGTCAAAAAACCAGCTTTCCCATGGATGAGGCTGGCCCAGCGGGAGGTGGTGCTGATTCTACATGGAGTGCGAGTCAAGAGAGCTGTGAGGGGAGACAGACTCCAGGGAGCCAGTGCACATTGGGGGTGCTGGTGGACTAAGACACAGGAGGCCAAGGGCACACTTCAGCTTTCCTGGAGCCCTCTACTGGGAGCCTGGTGAGGCCTCACAATCAGTTTGGCAGAAGGAGGTACAGCAATGGTTGCAGTTGAGGAATAACATTTCCTGAACACCCTAGAAAGGCCCTATGCTCGAGACCAGGTCTTCTAGAACCTTCTCCGGATCCTGACAGATTCTAGAAATCCAATGCAGCTTGGGTGGGATGCATCCACCAACAAATTCTATGATGGAGGAGAAGATGTATGAAAGAAGTTTGCTTTCAGAGGAAGTGGTTCTTCTCTGGTTCAGAATAACTGTGAGACCGCTATCACCTGCAGACCTCGGGTCCTCCTCCCTCTAGAAGGCTTCTCCTCTTCTTCACTCCCAGCAAGACCAGGACTTCAGGGCCCAAAGGACTTCTGGGAGGAGAGAGCCTGAGGCAGTGGCTCTCAGCGCTGGCCCTGAGGAATTCGGCAGTCTGCAAAGGTATTTTTGGCTATAGACATCAGGTGGGTAAAAAGTCAGGGATGCTGACCTCATGCTCATTTTGTACTATCTCCCCACCAAAAGGTGAACCCTATGAAAACCCTGCAGGAGCTCCTGGGCTCACTAAACTCTCTGCCCAAGGAACGCTTCCAGGCATCCTCCACAGGAAAGAGAGATGCAACATAACAGACATACCGCTGCTTGAAGTCAGCATAGAGGATGCGGCTGGGGAATCCTTTCCTACAGATCCGGATGCCCTCAAGTACCCCGTTACAACGCAGCTGGTGCATCACCAGGTAGTGGTCCATCACACCTGCAGAGAGAAAGGTCCAGGATGTCTGCGGCTTTCTCCGGGTTTGTCTTCAAAGGTTTGAGGTACCGTGAGACACTCCAACACACCCAGACATGGTGGGAAGAGTTGGTGCCAGCTGTAAGAAGAAATGGGGGCATGTGGCTGGCTCCTGACAAGAGATCTGTTTCTGGATTGAATCATGTCTTCCAAACATGTGTGCTGGAATCTTAACCCTGGCACCTGTGGATATGATCTTGCGTAGAAAGAGGCATTTTTCTTTTGCTGTGTTAATAAGATCATATTGGAGTATATTGTTGTTGTCCTTGTTAAGTGCCGTGGAGTCAGTTCCGACTCATAGCGACCCTGTACAGGGTTTCTGAGGCTGTAAATCTTTACAGGAGCAGAAAGCCTCATCTTTCTCCTGTGGAACAGCTGGTAGTTTTGAACCGCCAAAACTACCAGCTGGGTCTCAAACCTAGTGGGTCCCAAACCTAGTCTTTCTTGAGCTCTAAGAAGACTGGAATAGACACTGAGACATTCCCAGGGGGAGGAAAGACACCATGTGAGCATTTTCTACAATCAAAGGAAACAAGGATTGCTGGCAGACACCAAAAACTAGGAGACATTTACAGAAGGAATAGGTCAACATGGCTTAGGTCCTAACATGGGCTTTGACATAGATTTCAGAATGTGAGAAAATAAAATTCTGTTCTTTGAAGCCATCCACCAAAGTGATCTTTGTTATGGCAGCATTATGCCCCTAAGACAAGGTTGCATGGCACAGAGAAACCCAATTTCTTGTTGTTGTGCCGTGGAGTCGGTTCTGACTCATAGCGACCCAGGGTTTCCGAGGCTGTAAATCTTTATGGGAGCAGAAAGCCTCTTCTTTCTCCCACGGAACAGCTGGTAGTTTCGAACTGCTGACCTTAATGTTTGCAGGCCGATTTGTAAGCACTATGCTACCAGAGCACCCTATAACTGTGGGAATGAAAGTCAGAATATTGATTTTCCTCCTATCTATGGCTCTTGACTCTGTACCTAGGCTCTGGGTGGGTAGGTGCTGCGGGGGGCAGGGGAAGGCAGGCAGAATCACTTGAGAGATGGCCTCCTGCCTCTGGCCAGTGCCCTGACCTCCACACTGAAGGAAGGGAAGTACCTTAAACCAAGTAAAGATCTGTGGTAGGGCTTGGAGTGGGTTGAATGAGGGCGCCATCTGTTGGCTGTTTAGCAACTGCTCTGGGAAGTGGGGCAAGCTCTAAGGCTTGGGTAGAAGATGAGGAGACAGACAGACAAGACCCCATAATAGAGGTAACATATCAGGGAGTCAGACACAAATCAAGATGTCACTGAGAAAATTCTGCTGCTTTGGGGCTGTTTGAAGCATTAGACGGGAGATACTATGGCGTCTTATTGTGCGCTGCCTAAGAGCTACCACCCATCTGTCAGTCTGTCATCTTGCAGGGGATTGCCTGATTCTGGAAGAGATCCCACCTGTATTTCAAATAATAGTAGGGTCACTCATGGTGGACAGGCTTTGGCTGAGCTTCCAGAATACAACAGACTAGGAAGAAAAACCCGGCAGTGTACTTTTGACGATAAGCCAATGGAAACTCTGTGGATTGTAACAGAATACTTTCCTACAAAGTGCAGGATCGTGAGCCCCTGACTGGAAGGCACCACAGTGCACTAGTGCAGACCCGTGTTTGTGATGATGCTGCGGGTGACCTTACTCGTATTTGAAATCACACTGTCATAGCTTCCAGCATCAAAGGTACAGGCAAGCCACCAGACAACAGACAGACAGAGGGGTGGTGGTTCATGATGCATAAAATGGACACAATTGTATCACTCTTGTAGATAATCTTTACAAAGACTAAGATACTATTATCTCAACCAATTGTGGCAAGTCGATTCCAACTCATAGCGATCCTAGAGGTCAGAGTAGAACTGCCCCATGGGTTTTCTTTAGGGAAGCAAACTGCCAGATCTTTCTACCTCAGAATAGCTGGTGGGTTTAAACTTAGCAACCAAGCACTTTACCACTGTGCCACCAGGCTTCCTTGGAGATAACAGAACAGTGCTCACCATACAGCATGGCATCGCAAAGCAGTTATTACTGATGCTGTGCTAATTATGTGATACCTAAAATAATCACTTGCGAAGGGCAGTGGTTTGCAATTTTGTGGAGGAAGGGGCTTATTGACCCTTTAAGGATCTTGTAAAAGCTATGAACCTAATCTACCGATATGCAAAGATACAATTTTAGATATGATTTCAAAGTAGGGTTTTCAGATAAAATACAGCATACTCAGTTAAATTTGAATTTCAGATAAACATGAATAAAATTTTAGTATAAGTATATACCAACTATTCAGACATGTTATTAGGAAGGGCCAGTCCCTGGAAAAGGACATCATGCTTGGTAATGCGGAGGGTCAGTGAAAACGAGGAAGACCCCAATGAGATGGACAGACACAGTGGCAACAGAAATGGGCGTAAGTGTAAGTTGTTGCAGAACGGGGCAGTGTTGTTTCATTCAGTTGTACACAGGGTCACTATGGGTTGGAATCAACTCAACAACAATGTACCAAATATTACGTGAGCTATACTTACACTGGATTCTTGGTGTGGTGTTGTACAATAGATAAGCACTGGACTGCTAACCACAGGGTAGGTGATTCAAACCCACCAGCCGCTCCTCAGAAACCCAATATAGGATCCTTATGAGTCGGAACTGATTTGACGGCACTTAACAACAAACAATATTTGTACTAAGACATTTGTTAAATCTGGCCATCCTGTTTCACAAGTAAGTAACAAGGAACTGTAGTCCTTTTCTCAGGGAAACACATGGACACACCCCCTCACACAGCCATTCACAAAATTTCGCACCCATATCTGGGGTTCCTGTTCTGATTGCTTCCAACTCACCTGGAGTCTTGGTCTCATTGGGGATCAGACACCGTACAAAGTGAGGGTGTGTGCTTCTCAGATTGGTCATCAGCTTGTTTAAGTTTTCCTGGGAAATAAAGCCAAATATGCACAGGCAACTCAGCACGTGCCACTTTAGTGAGTAGGAAACCATTTGAATGCAAAAGCCGTCAAGATACGAACCCTGAACATGGCAGAAACAGTCTGGAAGGAAGAGCCCTTCTTCTTTCCACCCTTCTTACTTCCCACGGGGTCACCTGCAGACAGACACAAGAGGGGCCCATCAAGAACTGTCCACAGGACATACCAGGGAGGTTTCGAATCCATCTTTTCCAAGCCCAGGGATGAGAGTTTTGTTTTTCTTTTGTTGTTGGTTCTGCTTGCCTCCAAAACCAAGTGCCACCAAATCCATTTCAACTCTTAGCAAACCTATTGGACAGTGTAAACCTTCTCCATAGGGTTTCTGAGACTGTGAATCTTTTGGGGAAGCAGACCGGCTCATCTTTCTCCTGTGTGTGCCTCCAAACTACCCACATTTGAGAGCACTCAACCTTTATCACTTTGAAGATGAAGAGAGGTAAGGTATTGAACTGGGAATATAACCTAGAAGGAGTCCCTGGGTGGTACAAACAGTTAATATGCTTGACCACAAACCAAAAGATGCCCAGAGGTGCCTCGGAAGAGAGGCATGGTTATCTACTTCCAAAGAATCAGCCATTGAAAACAGTAGGGAGTATAGTTTACTTTGACAAACATGGGCTCGCCATGTGTTGCGGTGGAAAATCCCCACTGATAACTTAGGCTGTGTATGAAAACAGTTACTGCCTTTAGAAGTCAGACACGAACATAAACTGAATAACTAGAAAGACTGAAATGTTTGTACTAAAGACTGTAGCTTCACGAGTACAGTCCCAGAGCCCTGCTGGTGCAATGGGTGAAGCACTGGGCTGCTAATCCGATGGTCCATGGGAGAAAGATGAAGTGACAGTCTGCTTCCATGAAGATTTACATCCGTGGAAACTCTGTGGGTGGGTCTCCTCTGTCCTGTGTGCTCACGATGGTGGGGATTGAATCGACCGTAGTAGGTTCTTCATGCGACACTGTTTTCCCTCTTACTGAAGAAGAATCTGAAAGTAATAAAACTGCATTTTCTCAGGAAGATTCATTCTATGAATATTCTCATAAAAGTCTTTCTTTCTTTTTCCAAAAGAAACAATCAAACTTGCCATTAATATTTGGAGCCAGGGACATTTGAATTTTTTTTTTTTTTCTTTTCCTGACTGGCTTGATTTCAGACTTATTTACTAAACTAAGATTTCAGACTTATTTACTAAACTGAATAAGTAAGCCTAAACTTACTTATTCAGGATTCAGTCTTGGAGATAAATTCAAGTCACGTCTCATTTTCCCCAAAGCCCCCTTAATCCCACACCCCTTGTCCCCAGGGTCTAGCAGGGATGTATGTGAGGAGGAGGTGGGAAGGGGAAGCAGGAAAGCCTTTCCCCAGACCCACAGTGTTAGTACCATTGAGAGAGGTGATCTTTTATTATAGGTACAGAGATCCCCGATTGCATTCAAAGAAGACGATGACCATCAATCAAGATTACGTGTATCTATTTATTGTATTCCAAATCCCAGAGTTTACTAGAAAGTATTTTTTAAAAAAATAAATATTACTCTAATTATCTAATAAATGACCAGATTAGTTTGCCACTAAGTCAACTCTAACTAGAATTATGTTCCACGGAACTTTGGAAAACTACTATGATTACAGTTTTGGTGAAAGGGTACACAGCAACACAGATTCCCACTCAGCAGTGTCTGCACTTACTGTTCACTGACACTGGCTACATTCTGGTATTTTTCCTACGCTGCACAGGCTTTATTTGTTTGATTTTGAAACAATTAACAATACTCCTCTACTGCTGTGGCTAATATAACCAGTGTGCCATTCATATTTCTTGGGATCTCAGTACCATTAAAAAAATCATTTTGTTATTATTGTTGAGTCTTTACAGCAAAACATACACCAATCCACCCATGTGACATTGATGGCATTCTTAGAGTTGGGCAACCCCTTTCTCCCTCCTTTTCAGAGTTGTTTCTTCTCCATCAACAGAAACCCACTGTTCACTAAAGTTCCTATCTAATCTTCTGAGCAGCTGCTGCCATTCAGACGGCACATAGGTAGTTCAAAGAGCAAAATGCAGGCAGACAGTTTTTACTCATTAAGCTGAACTATTGTGAGGTTTTAAGAAGACTTCAGGGGATATTTTTGGCTTAATGTTTTAAGATGATCTCAACACAATTGTTTCAGGGCTTCATCCAGCCCCTTGACACCAGAGTCTGTGTTGTTGCTGTCAGTTGTCACTGAGTCAGTTCTGACTCATAGAAACCCTCTGCCCAACAGAATGAAACACTGGCCAGTCCTGAGTCATCCAACAAATCGTGTGACATTGGAGTCTATTGCTGTTGACATTCTGTCAGTCCACCTTGTTGGGAGTCTTCCTCTGTTTTCACTGATCCTTCACTTTACCAAGCATGATGTCCTTCTCCAGGGACTGGTCCTACCTGATAATATGTCTGAAGTATGAGAGATAAAGTCTCACCATCCTGGTTTCTAAGGAGCATGCTGGCTGTACTTTTTCCAACACAGACTTATTTGTTCTTCTTCCAGTCCATGGTACTGTGAATATTTTTCTTCAACACCATAATTCAAATGCATCAATTCTTCTACAACCTTCTTTATGTGAACTTTCACATGCATATAAGGCTATTGAAAATATCATGGTTTGGGTCAGTGTACCTTAGTCCTCAAGAACATCATGATACCTCTGTTATTGAACACTTTTAAAGAAGTCTTGTGCATCATAGTTGCCTAATGCAACTGATTTCCTTTTCTTTATAAAAAACTTTTTATTGTGAATTGAGTGAAGGTTTACAGAGCAGATCATCAGTTTTACATTCAGCAAATCAGACACTTTGCTTCATTACAATGATTGTAAATATTAAAAGTTCCATGGATTGCCAGAATAACAAATATCATATAGCGTCATTTGATTTCTTGACTGCTGTCTCCATGAGTGTTCACTGTAGATGCAAGCAAAATGAAGTCTTTGACAACTTCAGTTTTTTTCTCCATTTATTTATTGGTCCAGCGGTGAGGATCTTGGTCTTCTTTACATTGAGATGCAAGCCATACTGAAGGCTTTGATCTTCATCAGGAAGTATTTTAAGTTCTCTTCCCTTTCAGCAAGCAAGATCATATTATCTGCATATCTTCCTTCAATCCTGATGCCACGTTTGTCTTCATATTTTCTCAGATTTCTCAGATTATTTGCTCAGCATACAGATTGAATGAATCTGATGAAAGAATACAACCCTGGCACACAACGTTCCTGATTTAAAATCATTCAGTATCCCCTTGTTCTGTTCTAACAATTGCCTCTTGGTCTATGCACAAGTTCCACATGATCATTGTTAACTGTTCTGAAATGCCCATTCTTTGCAATATTATCCATAGTTTGTCATGATCTACACAGTCAAAAGCCTTTTACATAGTCAGTAAAGCACAAGTGAACATCTTCCTGACAGTCTTCACTTTCAGCCAAGATCCATCTGACATCAACCATAGTACCCCTCATTCCATGTCCTCCTTTGAATCCAGCTTAAATTTCCAGCAGTTGTCTGTCAATGTAGTGTTGCAGTCATTTTTTAATTATCTTCAGCAAAATTTAACTTGCATGTGAGATTAATGATATTGTTTGATGATTTCCTCGTTCTGCTGGATCACCTCTCTTTGGAATGGGCATCTCTTCCAATCGATTGGCTAAGTAACTGTCTTCAAAATTTCTTGGCATAGATGAGTGAGCACCTCCAATACTTCATGAGTTTGTTGCTTGTTGAAAAATTTCAATCTGTAGTCCATCAATTCCTGAAGCCTTGTTTTTTGTTTTGCTAATGCCTCCAGCGCAGTTTAGACTTCTTCAGTACCATTGATTCTAGATCATATGCTACCTCTTGAAACAGATGAACACCAACCACTCCTTTCTGGTACAGTGACTGCGTATTCCTTCAATCTTCTTTGGATGCTGTCTGCATCATTCAATATTTTGCCCATAGAATCCTCCAGTAATCCAAGTCGAGGTTTCAATTTTTTCTCCAGTTCTTTAAGCTTGAGAAATGCTGAGCATGTTCTTCCATTTTGGTTTTCTAACTCCAGGTCTTTGCACATTTCATTATAACGGTTGACTGTCTTCTCAAGCTGCCCTTTGACATTTTCTGTTCAGTTATTTTACTTCCTCATTTCTTCCATTCACTTTAGCATCTCTATGCTGAAGCACAAGTTTCAGAGACTCTTGTGACATCTATTTTGGTGTTTTTGTTCTTTCCTGTCTTTTAAATGATTTTTTTCTTTCTTCCTGTATGATGTTCTTAATGTCATCTCACAACTCTTCTGGTCTTCATCATTAGTGCATCATATCTGTTTTTGAGATGGTCTCTAAATTCAGATGGGATACATTCAAGATCATTATGTTGGCTCTCGTGGACTTGTTTTAAGTTTCTTCAGCTTCAGCCTAAATTTGTATATGAGCAATTAATGATCTGCTCTACAGCCTGACCCATTGCATTATTTTGGCTGATACTGAATCTTTTCACTGTCTCTTCCCACAGATATTGTAAATTTGATTCCTGTATATTCCATCTGGTAAGGTCCATGTGTATTTTTCTGTTGTTGAAAAATGATATTTGCAATGAATAAGTTGTAGGTCTTGCAAAATTCTATCATACAATCTCCAGCATCATTTCTAACACCAAGGCTATAGTTTCCTATAACTGATCCTTCCTCTTTGTTTCCAACCTTTCATTCTGATCACCAGTTATTATCAATGCACCCTTTCTTTTTCTCCCATATTTATTCTGGAATTTCCCAAATTTATTTGAGAATACAACTTCTTTTTCACATAATAATACTTTTGGACATGTTTTGGAAATGATGACTTGTAGAAAAGTTTTCTTATGTGAAATACTTCAATTCTAGTGCTGGCTCAGGGATTAATCAATATTTTCATTCATTCAGCAAATATGCATTGAGTTCAAGACACTTAACGATCTATTCAGAGAACAAAACAGACAACAGCCTCCTTCCTTGCAAGTTTATGTTCTAGTTGGGGGTATCAATGCATCTTGATTGCATGTTTGATTAGTTTCAGAAGGAAGCTGGTAGAATTCTTCAGTTTCATCATCACTGGCTTTAATGGTTGGTGCATAAATAAATGTGAATCATGGTGCTAATAGCTGGCCTCCCTTGTAAGCATAAGGATAGTATCTGATCACAGTTGTATTGTACTTAAAGATAGATTTTGAAATGCTCTTCTTGACAATGGATGGGATGCCATCCCACTTAAATTTGTTGTTTCTGGCATAGTAAACCATATGACTGATTCAAAATAGCTAATGCCAATCCATGTCAGCTCATTAATGCCTCAGAGATCGACCTTTATGTTTTTCATTTTATTTTAGACAACTTCCAATTTTCCTAGATTCATACTTTGAAAATTCTGTGTTCTAATTATTAATGTCTCTTGTTGTTGTTAAGTGCCATTGAATCATTTATAATTCATAGCAACCCTACATAAGGTTTCCAAGGAGCTACTGGTGGATTTGAACCACTGACCTCCTTTGAGTTAGCAGTCCAGTGTGTATCCTATAGTACCACACCAGGATTTCATTATTGTATGTTGTTGCCGTTAAGTGCCATCCAGTCAGTTAATATCTGTAATCTTTGGTAATTTTAAATTCTTTTCTACACCCACCCCTCTTTAGATTATAATTCTATTATAGAATCTTTCATCAAATGTTCAATGATGTTAGCCAAAATGATGTTTTTGGTCTGGTTTCATGGCAAAGGATGGAGTTGTTCATGGAGGCAATTGGTCATGTACTCCATTTCCTTCTCCTATTCCTGACTCTACATCTTCCTCTCTGGCTCCAGGTGAATAAGACTAGCTGTTGCACCTTGGAGAACTGCTAAGACTCCAGTCACTACGCCAAAAACTAGGAGGTAGAACAGAAGCACTCAACACATTATTAGGCCAATTAACTGGGATGTTTCATGATACCATAATCTTAAACCTCCAAACCAAGGAACCAAATACTAGGAGGTGTTTGGCTATACATAAGCCATCTCAGCAGCTACTCTTCCTTTGTTGCTGTTGTTGTCATTGTTGTAAATGTATCTATCTCACAAATTTTGTCAGTTCAACTTTTTATAGGTGTATATCTTATTCATAGCTATTACAATAATCAGCTGTACAATCGTACCATCAATCAAAGTGATTTTTTCCATCACCGTGAACCCCTGACTTTCCTTTCTCTCCTACTCCTGGTAACTATTAATAAACTTTGATCTCCATATGAGTACATTCGCCTTTTCTTGTATTTCTCTAAGTGTGAGCACATATAATATTTGTTGCCCGCTGTGGTGGCGTAGTGGTTACGAATCGGGCTGTGAACTGCAAGGTCAGCAGTTAGAAACTACCAGCTGCCCCGCGGGAGAAAGATAAGGCGTTCTGCTCCCATAAAGATTAACAGCCTTGGAAACCCAATGCAGGGTCGCTATGAGTCGGAACCGACTCCACGGCACATAACAACAACAACAACAACAGCAACAACAATTTCAAGTTAAGAACATTGATTTTATTAAATGTATGCATTAAGGGACGCCTGACCCAAGCCATGGCATTTTCAATAACCTCATATACATGCGAAAGTTGGTCAGGGAATAAGAAAGACTGTAGGAGAATTGATGCATTTGAGCTATGCTGATGGAGGAGAATACTGAAAGTGCCATGGGCTGCCAAAAGAATAAATAGATATGTGTTGGAAGAAATACAGCCAGAGTACTCCTTAGAAGCTGGGGTGGCCAGACTTTGTCTCTCATACTTCAGACATAGTGTCAGGAGGGAAGGAACCAGTCACTGGAGAAGGATATCATGTTGGTAAAGTGGAGGGTCGGAGAAACAGAGGAAGGCCCCTAGTGAGGTGGATTGGCACAGAGGCAACATCAGTGGGCTCATATGTAGCAACGATTGTGAGGTTGGCCCAGGATCAGGCAATGTTTCATTCTGTTGTGCATAGGGTCACTATGAGTCAGTACCGACTCGATGGCACCTAACAACAACATTTTAAATAGTCCATAAGTTAAAAAGAAGTCCCTTGTAATACACAGAAGGCTGGTGGTTGAAACCCACCACAAAGTGCCTTGGAAGGTAAGCCTGGCAATGTGCTTCTTTTTAAAAAGTCGCAATCTTGAAAACCCATGAAGCAGTTCTACTCTGCACACAAGACTTGGAATCGACTCCATTGCAATTAACAACAGCAAAAACAAATTTTAAGACCCTATTTTGGGAAGTCTTAAAATATATATATACATATATAGACAGATATGTTGTTGTTTTTGTTGTGAAGTGCCGTCGAGTCAGTTCCAACCCATAGTGACCCTGTATAGGGTTTCTGAGGAGCAGCTGATGAGCTTGAACCACCCACCTTGCAGTTCAAACAGCTTTTCAGTCTGGTGCATTAATCCACAACGCCACACCAGGACTCCATATATACAAATATATATATTGAGAAACTTAAAAATTGTAGTGGCTGGTGCTACCAGTGTGGAAAACAGTCAGTCAGTTCCTCCAAAGGTTAAAGCATAGTTTCCGTATTACCCAGTCATTCTACCCGAAGGTCTACAGCCAAGAAAAATGAAAATATATGTCTACACAAAAATGTGTACGCTTATGTTTATAGCAGAATTATTCACAACAACCCCAAAGTGGAAACTAGCCAAATATGCATAAACTAACAAATGGATAAACAAATGTGATACGTTAATATAATAGAATATTACTCAGCCAAGAAAAAGAATGAACTCTTGATTATGCTATGCTGTGCGTACACCTTGAAAACTTCATGCTGAGTGAAATCAGCCAGATAAAAAAGACCACATAGTGTGTGATTCAATGTATATGGGATGTTCAGAACAGGCAAATCCAAAGACGCAGAAAGTAGGTTCACGGCTGTCAGGGGCAGGAGAGTGTGGGGAATGGGAAGTGGCTATTTAATGGACCTGAGGTGTCTTTATGGGGTCATGAAAATGTACTTCAATTAGGTACTGGTGATGGTTGCACAATTATGTGAATATAGTGGAAACCATTGAATGATATACTTAAAAGGGAAAATTTTATGATATATCAATTACACCTAAAAGAAAAGAAGAATTAAACAAGATGATAATGGCTACCTTTTTCCAGAGTTAGAACCTCTTGATCTTTTCAAGGAAAAGGAAGAGGAAGAGAAAGGAAAATAGGGATTAGAGATGCACAGATATAAGCTCAAACTCAAGTTCATGTTTGACTACAGATTGTTCGTGAACCAGTTCCAGTTATGCGTTATTACGTGGAGATGTCTACAGTATAAAAAAGAGGGGTATAAAAGGAAAAAGAAAAGGAAGCAAAGATGATAAAATGTCACCTGCTTCTGCACCTGCATAGCTGGAGAAAAGGAAGGACAGCAACTTTAGGGAAGACTTCTGATACAGCCCGACCACAGTCTCGTTTAGGGGGTCCTTGTTCTTGTCAAGCCAGCCAGCAATGTTGTAGTCCACTGTGCCCGCGTAGTGCACCAGTGAGAAGTGGGCCTCAGCCTTGCCTTTGGTGGGCTTGGGCTTCTGGAAGTTGTTGGACTTGCCCAGGTGCTGGTCATACAGCTTGTTCTTAAAGGAAGCGTCTGTGGCCTTGGGGAACATGCACTCCTCTTCCAGGATGGAGAAGATGCCCATGGGCTGGAAGGAGGACAACAGAGACTATGTCTCAGCATTTAATAGAACCCATCAATGACTCAGCAGCACCAAACAACATTAATGGTCAAAGATGAGGATCTCTGCTCCTATCAAGATTTACAGCCTCAGAAACCCTAAACAGGGTCACTATGACTTGTCACCAACTTGACGGCACACCACAACCACCACCACCACCATTGATGGTCAGTGGAGTCCTGGTGTGGTGCTAAAGATAATCTTTATTATCTTGCATGCTGACTGCAAGATTGGTGGTTCAAACCCACCAACTGCTCTCAGAAACCCTATACATGAGTCAGAATCTACTCAATGGAACCTACTTAATGTTCCAAGTGAGTCCTGGTGGCATAGTGGGTAAAGCAATGGTTGGAAGTTCAAACCCACTAGTCGTTCTGAGAAAGACGAGGCATTCTGCTTCTGTAAAGATTTACAGCCTCAGAAATCTTATCGGCAGAGGGAGCTATTGTGGTGCAGTGGTTAAAGGCACTTGACTGCTAATCAAAAAGTCAGAGATTTGAACTCAGCAGCTGCTTTGCAGGAGAAAGATACGGTAGTCTATTTCCAAAAGATTTACAGCCTTGGAAACCCTACGGGGCAGTACTACTGTGTGCTGTAAGGTTGCTGTGAGTCAGAATCGAATCTATGGCGGTGAGTTTTGGTTTTGATTCACCAACGTTTGGAAGCAGTGATGGTCCAATGGCAGAGTTCTCTCCTTTCATGCAGGAGACCAGGTTTCCTCCTGGCCAATGCAGCAGATGGCCAGCCTCTACCCATCTGTCAGAGGCATGAGAAGCTCTGGAGCTTCCAGACTAAGAGAGACTAGGAAGAAAGATCTGGAGATCTCCTTGTGAAAATCAAAGAAAATTCTGTGGCTCATAAAGATCTGATTCACAAATGATCATGAGGGTAGTGCAGGACCAGTAACTATTTTGTTCTATTGTACATGGGGCCACCATACATTGGGGCCTGACTCAATAGTAGTTAACAACAACAACAAAAAGAAGTAATGATTCCACGGAGTCCTGGTGTGGTGCTATTGGATAAATACTGGACTCATAAACCACAAGTTTGGTGGTTCAAGCCCACCAGCTAATCCTCAGAAAGCCTATACAGGGTTGCTATGAATTGGAACCAACGACGGTACTTAGCAACAACCACCACACCACAATGAGTCCACAGTCTAGAGAAGATGAAGGCAACTTCTTTGATGCTATCTATCACTCTGGTGTTGAGAATGCTGGCAGGGAAGCTCCAGGAGAGAGAGACTTTTGGTCTGTTTGGGGCAGTAATGTATTCCAACCACCCAGAACAGGGCTGCACCTATATATAGCCTGTGTTCGGTTTACAGCCTGGGACAAAACAGTGTGTATGTGCATGATGTTTACAAGTGGAAAGCTACATATAACTCTGTAAAGCAATATGAGTAATGTTTCAAATAATAATGCCTGGATTTTTTGATAGCTCCCTTAGGAAGATCAGCAGTTCAAACTCACCAGTCACTCCTTGAAAACCCTATACAGCGTTGTTATGAGTCGTAACCAATTGATAGCACTTAACAACAACGTTAGGAAGATATACTCATTCCAACATTACCAGTGCTCAAAATATTATGAAAATTCCATTTAAAGAGCCTCATCTTCTGTTTTCATTGGAGTCCTGGTGTGGCGCTGTAGGATAAGCACTGGACTGCAAGGTTGATTTGAACTGCAAGGTCGGTGGTTCAAACTCACCAGCTGCTCCTTGGAAACTCTATACAGGGTCGTGCTATGAATTATAACTGACTCGACAGCACTTACCAATGACAACACTGTTTTCATAATAACATCCTTCTCTAAGAACCACACTGCTCCATGGATCCTCTACTTGGGTTTTTGGGTAAATCAGACAGGTAAGAAATGCCAGAGTCCCTGTTGAACATGTACTCATGCTCTTGAGGACAGCTGAGCTCTCAGTTATTAACCACCCATGTGCCTCTTTAGATGTTTGAACAGATCCTAGGTACTTTTCAAATGCTTACCCACTCTGCACAAGGAGTTCCAGATATTTGACAGCTCACATCCTAGGGGAGCGGAGCTCAGGACATCAACTTCTTAACTAAGAAAGAAGAGTCAGAGCCACCGAATGATGGTTACAATCAAGGAGTTCTCCCTGAAGAGCAGCATTTCTCTACCTTTTCTATGAGCTCAATGCAGGCCGCCAGGTCCATCCCGAAGTCGATGAACTCCCACTCGATGCCCTCCTTCTTGTACTCCTCTTGCTCCAGCACGAACATGTGGTGGTTGAAGAACTGTTGCAGTTTCTCATTGGTGAAGTTGATGCACAGCTGCTCCAGGCTGTTGTACTATAGGAAAGGGTAAATATAGGAAGTCACTCATAACTTATGTGGGTCTACAGAAGAGTTACTAATGTTTTCTTCTGTACTTCAAGGTATGCTGGTTTATTAAATTACAAACTGTCAGATTGTTTTTTAATATATGAAATAATTCTAAGCAAAGGAGAATTGACTCCTCAAATTCTTTGCTTTCCAAATGAATTGCCTGAAATCATGCATCTTAGGCAAAACCTTGTTAAATGAGACTATCTTTTAAATATTCCCTTAACTTACTTTTTAATAACATTTATATACTTATCTGCTTGGATGTAGGATCGACTTTTAATATTTTAGCCTCTCATGGACCATTCTTTAAGACTTCTAGACATGAAAGGAAAACATTCTCTCCACTTCCCTACTAATCATTCACTTATTTTTGTATTTCTTCAAAGAGTCTTCTTCACCATGAGTTCCTTCACATTTTTTGTAAAGATAATTTTGAATCTTCTAACAAGATCTATCAAATTACAAGTCATTTATACACAGTTTACTACTCACGTCAAAGATCTCAAAGCCAGCAATGTCCAAGACCCCGATGAAGTACTGCCTGGGCTGCTTGGTGTCCAGCTGCTGGTTGATGCGGGTGACCATCCACAGGAACATCTTCTCATAGATGGCCTTAGCCAGGGCACCCACTGAGTTGGTCACCTTGAGGAAGGATCATCTACTCAGCCCTCAAATTTTTATTTTTATGTTTCGTTAAGTTGTAGCTTACTTAGTTGATGTCTTGCAGGACAAAAACAACCAAATATTGACAACTTCATATATCTTGAGGTGTTGTTCTAATTCACGAAGTTCCCCTTTTTCTAACAGTCATGATTATAATGCAAGACCCCCACCTCAAGACACTTAATGTGGCCAGATGGACACTTGATCCAAGTTGGGCTAATCAGAGTGTTCCTACTAAGAATTTGGAATCTGGATCAATAGACACTGGGTTTAGTCTTAGGGTGAGGCTGAAACCATGGGAATGTGAACTTGGAAGAAATGGGATGACCATGAGCAGGAAAGGTGGAGAAAGCTTGTCAGTCTGGTGGGGACACACCAATGGGAAGAGATGGGAGAGGAGACAGAAGGACCTAGAAAGTGGCTGCCTGGTTCCAGAGAGGGCTTTTCAGCTTCTAATTCCCAACCCTCATGGGGCCCAACAGCACGCCTTGATTTACATTCCTTGAGTTATTGGAGTTCCTTAAGGTATATTTAAGGAGCTCTGGTAGTGTAGTGGTTACGAATTGGGCTATGAACCTCAGGGTCAGTGGTTCGAAACTACCAGCTGCTCCGTGGGAGAAAGATGAGGCTTTCTACTCCCGTAAAGATTTACACCCTCGGAAACCCTGTACAGGATTGCTATGGGTCGGAACCAACTCAACGACACTTAACAACAACAACAAGGTATCTTTGATTTAAAGCCCGAGAGCCAGTTTAATATGTATGTCTGATACCTGCAACCCCAAGAACTTTAAGATAATGGATAAAATAAGAAAATACCCCAGTCACCTGGGTTCAGAGTATCTTGGTTACCTGCTGGACATTTTGCCCTTTAGTGACATATTCATTCCCAACCTTCACCCTTGGATAACACAGGCCTTTCAACATTTCTGCAGAATTCAGACCCATCAGATATGCAGCTTTGTCAGCCACTGAGGGAAGAGGAGAAAGAACATCTCACAACAAACAAGCAAATAAACCCAAACCCTCAAACCAAACCAGTCGGGAGTAAATTCTGACTCATGGTAACTCCATGTGTTACCGAGTAGAACTATTCTCCCTAGGGTACTCTTGGCTATACTCTTTATAAAGCACCTTGTCGGGGCTTCCTTCCATGCACCTGGTGGGTGTGTTCCAACAGTCAGTGTTTAGGTTCCCAGTGTATCCCAAACTGCTGCATCCTCCAAGAATTTCACACAAAAACTATAGCCTCTGGGGTGTCCAGTCAGTCCTGCCTCCTCCCAGAAAGGTTTGATATAATCTCTTTTGATGTTGGCATATTATCTCACATGCATCAGATCTGATCCTGTCCAGGAGAGTTTCAATCCCATCATGCAAGAGCCCAGGTTCTTAAGAACTTTCAATTTGCCTTGAAGATGGAACCCTCAACAATGATAAAGTAAAATAAATGGGACAAGTGGCCATGCATGTCAGGCACTTTGTCATTCATGCAGGGGTTGTGTTAGTACTGAGAGAGAAGTACCAGACTTTGATCCTGCCTTCAAGTTTTTGGAAACTAGTTGGGAAGAAAAGTTCATGAAAATACAGGCAAATATTTGTTACATGGAGTCTCTTGGTGGTACAAACTGTTATGTGCTTGGCTACTAATTGAAGGTTGATGGCTCAAACCCACCCAGAGGAAACGTGATGATCAACTTCTGAAAAATCAGCCTTTGAAAACCCTATGAGCACAGTTCTACTTTGATACACATAGAGGTGTCATGAGTGGAAATCAACTTGAGTTCAACTTTTTAAAAAAATTGATTGAAAATTCAAGAAAAGGCTAAATGCATGTCTTTCCCATTTAGGGGCGCTGCCTTTGTTCCCCTGGTCACTTAAAACTCAGGCCCTTGGATAATAAATCATTCTCTCTTACCCTTGAGGTACCTGTGGTTCATTCTCACTTACCAAGTTCTGCTCAGTTCATCTTCAAAACCCTTGTTTCTAAGAGATGTGGAATAATATGGTGATGAACCTGGGTTCTAGAGCTAGGCTGTCTAGGTTCACATTTGGGCTTTTCTTCTCCTCCTTCTTCATGGAGAGGGCATTTATTTTGATATGGTACTGTGGAGTTTATAATGTTACTGAAGTGACAAAGTATGCTGACAAAAGCACGAAAGTCAAGGAGCTGGTTTTGTTTCTTGCTGTCTCAGTTTTACCTTCTGTAGAATGTGGAGCAGTAACTGTTCAAGGGGTAGGTTTGTTGGGAAGCGTGGTTGGTACATAGGAGAACTCAGTAAATGTAAACTTGAATTAGCATCTTTATCAGAACAGGTTAGACTCTGATTATAGCTTCTGCTTTCTCTTTTGCCAGGTTCTTCCTGCTCAGGGCTGTCAAGGCTGAGGAGGAGACACTGGTACACATTATTAGGCTGGTGGCTGGAAGGGGCCCTGGGACCCTAATGTAACAGGTCTCAACACAGTCCACCCTAATGGCAGGGTCTAATTTATTATGATTTCAAAGTTCCCACCCTTGGTGAGTTGGCTGCTGACAGATTAATTCTAGTTTCTAAGAGTCACTTCCTCTACTACTCACAGCATCAGCAGCTTCCACACTCGACAAATACATCCTAAACCATTTATCGCAGCGCTCCTGACCTTTCCACATTGATGTGAAAATGATCACATTTGATTTCCATCTGCACAGACTCTCTTCTCCTTCCAAAGAGGATCACTCTGCTCCTCAGTCCCCATCACAGCTCATCCTCTGCCCCCTTGCTCCTGGAATTTCCTCTCCCAGACTGTCCTCTCCCACCCACACCTTTCAGAATCCCACTCAAAGTGCAAGTCAGTGCCACTCCTCCAGGAAGCCTTCTTTGATTGCCCCCATCAGCAGCAACTCTTTCTCTGGATACTCTCAGCGTCTCTCCTGTGACTTGCCATGTGCTTATATGGAAGGTAAGATTCTAAGAGACTCCTTAAGCTTTCCACCTCATGAATGTGCACACCCATATTACGCTTCCACTTGAGTGTGGGTGGAAAGTATGAACATCACAGGACATCACTCTGTAATGAGGTGACTTTAAGTTCATCAGAAGTCAGTCCCTGAGTGATGCAAATGGCTAATGCACTTGGCCTGCTAACAGAAAGGTTGGAGGTTCAAGTCCACTCAGAGGCTCCTTGGAAGAAAGGCCTCAAGACCAATTTGCAAAAAAATCAGCCACTGGAAGCCGTAGAAGAAAGATTATGCCTGGCAGGTCTAACCTAACCAGGTGAGTCTTTCAAAGAAAGCAGGGCATATGCAAGCCAGGCTCCCACCAGCCTGGAAGAAAGCAAAGAGCTTTCCTCAGAGAGGAAGGGTCCCGTAGAAGGACCCCAGGGTGGCTTCTAAGAGCTGGAGAGATCCCTGGCCAGTCACCACCAAAATAATGTGGACATCAGTCCTACAACCACAGGAATTGAATTCTGCCAGCAGCCTGCATGAACTTGGAAGTGGGTGTGGGCTCCATCCAGTGAGAACATGATCCTGGCTAATATGATGATTTCAGCCTATGAGACCCTTAGCAGAAGACACATTCACTGGGGCCTGGACCACTGACCCACAGAACCTGTGAAATAAGACATTTGTGCTGTCTCAAGCTGCTTTGTTGCTGTTAAGTGCCGTCGAGTTGGTTCAAACTCATAGTGATGATCCTGTGTAGGCATTCCAAGGAATGGCTGGAACCACCGACCTTGTGGCTAGCAGTCCAGTGTGGCTAGCCACACCAGGACTCCTCAAGCTGCTGAGTTATTGGTAATTTGTTATACAGCAAGAGCAAGCCAAGGTCCCTGGGTAATACAAATGGTTTGCACTGAACTATTAACCTAAAAACAGGTGCCGTTACCTTCTGTGCCGTCTGGCTCTGCCTGCTCCTCTCGCTGCTTCTGCTTGAACTTCATGTTCCCATAATGCATCACAGCTCCTGTCAGCTTGTAGATCCCCACCTTCTCCTCTGAGTTGAAGCCCAAGATGTCAATGGCATTCTGGGAGGCGAAAAGGAGAGCTGTCATAGCCAGATTCAAGGATCCACAACAACTGTTTTGAGCCCCTTTCTTAGAGCCCATGAGACAGAGCATGTATGTGTGTTTGCCCAAATATTAGGTATCAGGTGGAGGGTGGTAGATGAGGGGTTAGAATCCAGTTGTTTAATTTAGCATGTTGGTGTAGGTTGAGGGATATTGTGGGAAGGAAATGTGAAAAATCTAGTTCCTTCCATCAAACATCTAATCCTTTTCCATTGTCCATTGATTTAGATTAGAGACTGTGAACTGAGTGAGGATATTAGCAATCATTGTCTGATAGTGGTAGAAAGACTACTGCGGTGCAAACATGGTATAACTGCTTTGCAGTTCTTCAATAAGTTGAGCACAGAACTTCATAGGACCCAGCAATCCCAATCCTAAATCTATGCCCAGAAAATGTGAAGGCAGGAGCGCAAACAGAAACCTACACACCAATGTTCGTCATAGTTCTTCTCACAGTAGTCAAAAGGGGGAAACAGCCTAGATGTGCAACCACAGATGAATGGATACACAAAATGTGGTCTTTCCATACTCTAACAATGGAACATTAGCCAAAGAGAAAGAGAAATGATGCCCTGATACATGCCACAACATGGATGAATCTTGAAAACTTGTTGAGTGAAACCAGTCAATCACAAAAGGACAAATACTAAATGACCTCATTTTTATGAAATAGGCAAGTATAGAAAGCAATGCTTCTTAGTGGGTACCAGAGATGGTGGGAGGGAGGGGAGAAGCGAGAGCTTTTGTTTAGGTGGCACTGAGTTGCACGTATAGAAATTGTTGAGTTGGTGTGTGCTTTGTTAAGTATATTTGTGCCATTATGAAGAAAAAGGAAGAAATTTCATGGGTAGGGGCTGAGAACGAACTCAGTAGGCACCTTCAGAGCTCGGCATTGCAATCTAGGATTTCTACAGTTATGAAGAATCAAGAATAATGAAATGATAAGAGAAGACCATCAGAGATACCATAATTTTTCACATGAGAAAGGGATAAATATTCACAAAGTCCCTTCTCTGTGCTAAGCATTGGGATAACCATACATATGTTATCTCATTAAATATTGTTGTGCAAAGACCTGGAGTTAGAAAACCACAAGAGAAGAGCACACTCAACATTGCTCAATCTGAAAGAACTGAAAAAACAATATAAGCCTCGACTTGTGATGTCGAAGGATTCTGTGGGAAAATTGTTGAATGATGCAGGAAGCATCAGAAGAAGATGGAAGGAATACACAGTCACTGTGTCAAAAAGAAGTGGCTGATGTTCAATCATTTCCAGAGGTAACATATGATTAAGCACCGATAGTATTGAAGGAAGAAGTCTGAACTGTGCTGATACTGATGCTGAAAAAACAAGGCTCCAGGAATTGATGGAATATAAATTGAAATCTTTCAACAAACTAATGCAGTACTGGAGAGGTTCACTCATCTATGCTAAGAAATTTGGAAGACAACTCCTGACCAACTGACTGTAAAAGAGCCATATTTGTGCCCACTCCAAAGACAGATGATCTAACAGAATGCAGAAATTACCAACAATACCACTGATGTCACATGCAAGTAAAATTTTGCTTAGTTAAAAAAAACACTGGCAACAGTACATCGACAGGGAGTTGCTAGACATTTACGCTGGATTCAGAAGAGAACGTGGAACACAGGATATCACTGGCTAAATGCAGAGAATACCAGACAAAATTTACTTGTGCTTTATTGACTATGTAAAGACATTCGATTGTGAGGATAATAACAAACTATGAGTAACATTACAAAAAATGGGTATTACAGAATACTTAATTGTGCTCATGAGGAACCTGTACATAGGCCAAGAGGTCGTAATTAGAACAAAACAAGGCGACTCTGAATGGTTTAAAATCAGTACAGGTGTGTGCTGGAGTTGTACTCTTTCATCATACACATAATCTGTATGCTGATTACATGAAGAAGAACATGGTCTCAACTGATCATCCTACTCTCTGGAAGTAAAGAGGACTTAAATACTGATCAAAGATTGCAGCCTTCAGTATGGATTGCACCTCAACATAAAGAAAACAAAAATCTTCATAACTAGACCAATAAATAACATCAAGATAAATGGAGAAAAGATTCAAGTTGTCAAAGACTTCATTTTGCTTGGATCTACAATCAATACTCATGGAAACAGTAGCCGAGAAATCAAAAGATGCATTGCATTAAGGCAAATTTGCTGCAAAAGACCTTTTAAAAACGTCTTTTAAAGATGTCAGCTTGAGGACCAAAGTACGCCAACTGCCCAAAATGTATGTAAAATTTGGACAATGAAAAGGAAGATCGTAGAAGAATTGATGCACTTGAATTATGGTGTTGGTGAAGAATACTGAAAATATCATGAACTGCCAGAAGAGAAACAAATCTGTCTTGAACTAAGTACAGTCAACATGTTCCTTGGAAGTGAGGATGGTGAGACTTCATCTCTTGTTCTTTGGACAAGTTCTCAAGAGGCATAAGTGCCTGAAGAGAGGCATCATGCTTGGCAAAGTGGAGGGTCAGCTAAAAACGGGAAGACCCACAACAAGATGGATTGATACAGTGGCTACAACAATGAGCTAAAAAGGTAACAGCAGTTATGAGGGTGGTCCCGGACCAGGCAGTGTTTTGCTCTGTTGTGCATAGGGTTGCGATGAGTCGGAACAGACTTGACTGCGCTTACCAATAAACAACAACAAAAAGAATTGAAGTCCTGATGTATGCCCCAACATGAATGAACTTTGGAAACATACTGAGTGGAATAAGTCAGTTGCAAAAGGACGCAAACTGTCTGACATCACTTATATGAAATGAACAAATATATAGAAACCAAACCTTAGTGGTTACCATGGGTGAGAGGAAGGGGGAGAGGGGGAACTTTTGTTTGGGGGGCACCATGCTTACATTAATAGTGGTGGCATAATTAGGAAAAGGACAGTGATATGGATTGCTCAACAGAAAGAGTGTAGTCAATGTCATGGGATTGTGCATGTAAACAAATAAAAGCTTACATCAGTGGCCAACAGTTCTTCACTGTCATCAATGCTGGCTACGGTGACCTCTCCTTGACTTATGAAGGGAAAGTCAAAGGGATTGGTTGAAATCAGAAGCAGGTCTGAAACACAAAGTTCCCATTAGCATCTCCAACACAATGAATGCTGAAATTTTTTCCAATGACACCAAGAACTTACCAATTAGTTCTGGCTTTTTGTTTGACATGATCTGGTAAAAAATATGATAGCTTCTTTCACTGGATAACTGAAATGTCACTCTGGATTTTTCTAAGAGATCTAAAGGTGACAACAACAACAAAAAAAGTGTGTTCTGTGTCCTGGGAGATGTCTCTGTAGTCAAATAAGAAGATGCAGAAGTGTCTGGACTTACAGGTCTCAATGTCTGCTGATGCCAGCTTTCCTGTGGCTCCGAAATGGATCCGAATGAACTTCCCCTGTTCAGCAACAGGTTAGTAAACACCATAGTTATTTGATTTATATGGTTCTGTGGCAGGTCTCTCTGTCAGATACTACCACAGATGGGTTGGATGTGCAGTCAGGGGCAATGATACCTCTGAGAAGACTTTCTCAAACCCCCTTCAAGAACAGTGAGGGATTCCTCAACTCAGAGCTCCCAAGCGGAGTCAGTCAAGACTGATGTATTTCTCTCTAGAGCACCTAGCTCTGGTCTATAGCTCAGGGAAGTTCCCAGGTTCCTTCTCCAACCCTCTACTTGGGCCACTTCACTCGTGACTGTCTTCTTGGTTTTAATTCTGCTTTCTTATACCTGAACTCTCGAGCTTTATATACAACTTTTGAATTGATAGTCTGGTTGAGATGTCTGTTTGACTTCATTTTTTTGGCTCTGGAAGCTAGTTTTGGGATTTTATATCTCAGGCTTACATATTGCTGACAACCATTTCCAAGTGTCTCAGGAGATCTCACCCAGGACCCAGGTTTCCTCTTTCTTGTGTGGGAGAGGTGAAATTATATATAAATATGTGTGTATAGCTATATACACATGTATGAGTACATACATTTGTATCAGTATAGATTTGTCTATATAGGTATCTATATAGATGAATATATCTGATACATCCATGCATTCACATATACACATGTATATTTCTATACACACAGTTATATAATTTCATCTCTACCCACTCCTCACCCCATCAAACAGGAGAACACACACATATACACTACTCACATTATCTGCTTAACTGATCTGTGAGAAAATATGAGGACAAGGATGTAGCTATAGAACCTGGAATGTAGTTGTTGCTCAATAAATGCTTAATGAAATCTAATAAAGAAGTTAGTGAAGGTTGAATGGATGGATGTGTGAATTGTAATGTTCTGTTTTCAGTATTTTTAGCTGCATAATGGAAGCTCATAGAAGTTGCCCTCAAACTTGCAGATGTCTGAAGGGTGGATTGTGGTTGTTAGGTGTTATTGGTTTGGTCTGGTTCCAATTCGTATCGACCAGCAGAACAAACAGAATAAAACAGCGCCTGCTTCTGCGCCATCCTCACCATCATTGTTCTGTTTGAGTCCATTGTTGCTGCCACTTGGCCAATCCATCTCATTGAGGGTCTTCCTCTTTTTCACTGGCCCACTGTTTTACTAACTATGATGTCTTTCTCCCAGGACTGGTCCCTCCTGACAACCTATCCAAACTATATATAAGACAAAGTCTTGCCATCCTTGCATCTAAGAAGCAGTCTGGTGGTACTGCTTCCAAGACAGATTTGTTCATTCTTCCGGCAGTACACTATATCTTCAGGATTCTTCACCAACACCACGATTCAAAGCCATCAATTCTTCTTCAGTCTTCCTTAATCACTGTTCAGCTTTTGCATGCATGTGACATAATTAAAAATAAAGTAGCTTGGATCAGGTGCACCTTAGTCCTCAAGGTGACATCTTCGCTTTTTGAAAAACACTTTTAAAGAGGTCTTTTGCATCAGATTTTCCCAGTGCAATCTGCCATTTGCTATCTTGGCTGCTGCTTCCAGGGGCATTGATTATGGGTTCAAAGTGACAATTTCAGTATACTTTCCTTTAATCTTGATGGTGCTAAGCGGTTCTGTTTGTGGATTTTTGTTTTATGTGAGAAGTGTAATCAATACTGAAGGCTGTAGTCTTTTGTTTTCATCAGTAGAGTGCTCCAAGTCCTCTACACTTTCAGCAAGCAAGGTCATGTCATCTGCATCTTGCAGGTTATTAATGAATCTGCCTCTGATCCTGATTCCACATTCTTCCTCATATAGATCAGTTTCTCAGATTATTTGCTCAGCATACAAGATAACTTAGTATGGTGAAAGGATACAACCCTGATACACAACTGTCCTGATTTTAAACCACACAGTGTCCTCTGTTCTGTTTGAACGACTGCCTCGTGATCTATGCACAGGTTCCATGCACACAATTAAGATATGGCTCTACTCAAAATGAGAAGAAACTGCTGCAAACACTCCCTAGAAACTGGAGCATGGAATATATGAAATATAAATCTAGAAAAAATGCAAGTCCTCAAGAATGAAATAGAATGCTTGAAGGTCAATATCCTAGGCATTAGTGAGCTGAAATGGACTGGGATTGATCATTTTGAATCAGGCATCCTATGGACTAGTATGCCATGCCAGGAATGACAAACTGAAGAACAGTGTCACATTCATTGTGACTAAAAGAACATTTTCAAGATCTATCTTGAAGTACAATGCTGTCAGTGATAGGAAAATATCCACATGGCTATAAGGAAGAACAGTTAACAGGAATAGTATTCAAATTTAGGTATTAACCTTCAATGCCAAAGACAAAGAAAGAGAAGTTTATTTTTGTTTTTGTTTTTTTACCAACTTCGGCAGTCTGAAATTGGTAAACTATGAAATCAAGATGGATTGATAATTACGAATAGGTAGAAGCTTGATAGAATGACCAGAACAACTGTGGCCAAGAAGAGAAGCCTTTGAACTAAGTAAAGCAGAGGGATAGCACTGAGAGCCTGCAAGAATTGTTCTCGAGTTTAAGTGGGTGTCTCATTAGCAGATGAAAAAATTTGTTCCAATTATGGGTAGCATGGAGTCCTGATGTGGCGCTGTGGGTTACTGCGCGGGAATGCAAGTTCGGTTTGTACCACAAGGTTTGTGATTCATGGTCACCAGCCACTCACTCCTTGGAAGTCCAGTATAGGGTTGCTATGGGTTGGAACCGACTCAATGGCATTTACCAATAGCAACAACAAATGGATAGCTTATTGTGTGCCTGTCTTCCATAAGGAGAGGAATTTAGTTTTGCATCCAGCTAGACAGCTGTGTAAGCAGATAAATGGCATGGCTAGAGAAAAAAAAGAAAGGCCAGGGCTCAGAGTGGGGGTTTTGATGGATGCGTCTACTTTATCATCCTTGTTGGGTAGCAATACAGAGTTTGAGATAATCCAGCTACTCAGGCGTGTGAAGTTCTGATGCACTTTACAACTGTAGGCTTAGAAGTGGGTTTCACCTCTGGGCACTTGCTCACTGACCAGTGAAATTCAGGATAGGGCTGAGATTCCTTGATTTGGCAGCGTGGAAGTAAATGTTTTTGAGTTGATCCTAAGTAAATGGTGAAGAATAAAGCATGTTCTTCAATATCTTCCTATTTCTGACTCATCGAATCCTTCTCCTGCTTGTACAAAGCCTTTTCTACTCCCAATGTCTGCTAACTTCGAGGTGGTCACATTGTTAACCTAATTCACACTAAGGCTTCTCTGTTATATAGGCCAATGGGTAGTGTCCAGTGGACATTTGAATTTTAAAATGTTTTCACTTAGAGAAACCCATTTTAGCATAAATAAATTGTTCTCTAATTGTGAAATTTGAATTCCTATGACTTCAGGATGCTATGAGTGGTTAGGGAAAGAGATCTCGATCCTCTCATCTTCAGGAACAAGCCAGCATGTTCTCTCAAGTGCATGGGATATCAGATTAGATAGGTTTGAATCACTTGGAGGGAGGAAAAGCCATAGCCTCTTCTAGTTTATTTGACAATTTTTCATAACCAGCAGTTGAGGAGAGGGTGTAATTTTGGAGGAGTGGGTATTTATGATTGGAGTGGGCCTTACGAATCTGGAGGAGTTGTCATTCCTCACGGTCTTGGCGTTTCCAAAGGCCTCCAGCAGGGGGTTGGCCTGGATGATCTGATCCTCCAAAGTTCCCTAATAATAAACAAGAAAAGGAAAAAGAAGATTTTGGATTTTGTCACTGTTTCTGGAATGGACTATTGGTGACTCAGGATAAGAGTGTCCTGGGCAGGGAGAGTAGTTGATCAGGCCAATGGGGACTTGCGGACCAATGTAGACATGTCAGGCCACTTGTCTTACTTATATAGCATTAAAATGACTTCTAGCTAAGCCAGATTCCAAGCTGGAACATGGCTCTTTCCATCTTAATTTCCCCTTCTTCTCTGATCATATTTCGGTCTAGGTCACAGATTTTTAGAACTTATACCTCTATCATTGTTAGTTGGAATCACCTCAATGGAAGTGGGTCTGGTTTTGGTTTCAGAAATCTCTGTGACCGTCTGCATCCTGACCTTGCCTGGTATTGTGACATTTGTGTTCAGCAGTAGAAATAGAATGTTAGCAATGAAAGTCACTCAAGAAATCGTATGATAGAAACAATGGTTCTCACATATTTTTGTAAGTAGTTAAAAGTATTTCATGAGAATTCTTAATCAGAACTCCATGCTTCAGAGTGTTTGGAAACTACTGGCTAACCACAGTGTTTTCCAAAGTATGAAAAAAAATTGGAACTTATCAAAACTGCAAGCTAGCAGGTCTCATTTTGTGATTATTGTTAGAGGCCGTTGAGTTGGTTCCAATTCATGGCGACCCTAGGTTCAACAGAACAAAAGGTGCCCAGTCCTGGGCCATCCTCACAATCATTGCTATGTTTGAGCCCATTGTTGCAGCCACTGTGCCAATCCATCTTGCTAAAGGTCTTCCTCATTTTTGTTGACCATCTACTATACCAAGCACGATGTCCTTCTACAGGTACTGGTCTCTCCTGATAACATATTCAAAGAGTATGAGACAAAGCCTCACCATCCTTGCGTCCAAGCAAGTAAGTCTCACTTCAGACCTACTCAATCAGTGTAAGCATCTCTGTTTTCATGTCCTCTAGGTGATTCTAATACATGCTCCAGTTTGAGAACATCTGGCCCAACCTACTCCTTCTCCAGAGGCAGATGTGGAAGCTGGTCAAGGTCACACACTGTTACCAATGGAACTGCTATTAGAACATGAGTCTACTAGGCAGAACCACCTCCTGCCTTACCCGATAAGCACCTACAGGGCAAGACATTGTACTGTGTATACATGCTGAGGATCATCTACTTGGTCATCACCCAGCCTTTATTAAGTTATACCAATTCCAACAAACCTCTGGGTCCATGGACCTACTCACCTGCATTTTGCCTGGCTGTGGCTCCTTCTTTTTGTCTCCAGTAACTGCAATTGTTGCAAAGTATTGGATGACACGCTTGGTGTTCACCGTCTTCCCAGCTCCGGATTCTCCACTGTTGATTTGAAAATAAATAGGATAAAAGAAAGTGGAAAGGATGGCACTGGCTTTCAAGTCACTGGAATGCAAACTTGGATTACTTACGTGATAAGGATGGACTGGTTGTCTCGATCTAGAACCACAGAGAGAAACAAAACAAAACATGCAATAAACAAACAGAATGTAAAAATAGGGCAACATTGAACCAAACCTAAAACCAATTGTTGCCATAAATTTAATTCAAACTTGCAGCAATTCCATGTGTTACAGAGTAGAACTGCTCCACAGGGTTTTCTTGGCTTTAACTTTTACGGAAGAAGATCGGCAGGCCTTTTTCTGTGTGCTACTGGGTGGGTTTGAACTGCCAACTTTTTGGTTCATAGTCTAGCACAAACTGCACCACACAGGAATCTCAGGACAATATTCACACACACCAAGACAAACCCACTGCTGTTAACTCGATTTTGACTCACTGCGACGTGATAGAGAGAGTAACACTGCCGGATGGTTTTCCAAGGCTGTTACCCTTTACGGAAGTAGACTGTCCTGTCTTTCTCCCATGGGGTAGCTGGTGGGGTTGAACCACTGATTTTTTGGCTCACCGTCAACCACTTTAACTGTTGTGCCACTGTTGTTGGTAAGTGCTGTTGAGGTGATTCCAACTCATAGCGACCCTGTACAGAGTTTCTGAGGAACAGCTGGTGAGTTTGAACTGCCAACCTTGTGGTTCTCAGTCCAGTGCTGATCCTATAATGCCACACCGAGAGTCTACTGTTGTTGTTGGTTAAGTGCCCTCGAGTTGGTTCTGACTCATAGCAACCCTCTATAAGGTTTCTAAGGAGCAGCTGGTAAGTTGGAACCACTGACCTTGTGGTTCAAACCGACCTTGTGGTCTAGTGCTATAGCTTACAGAGCCACACAGGGGAGGTCAAAACACGAATCAGAAAAGAAGCAGAGAAGAAGAACATAGCAGTGTGATTTGGGCTTGTTCTGGTGTGGCACTGTAAGAGAAACTACTAGCCTGTGCTCTAACCACAGGCCAATGGTTCAAACCCACCAGCCACTGTTCCTCAGAAACCCTATACAAGGTCGCTATAGTTTGGAACTGACTCAATGGTGCTTAACAACAACAAATCTGTTCTGGGAAAAGTGTTAGTCAGTATTCCTTTTACTTTGGAAATCAATCAAAGGATCCCTAAGAAATATAATGGTCAACCAATCATTAGGATGGCACAGAACTGTGCATTGCTTTGTTCTGTTGTGCTGGGTCAACCTGAAGGCAGCTAAAAGCACCAACAGCAACAATCTTGTCTGAGACATTTAATGCAGGTTCCCAAAGTGCGGGACATGTCACATGGGTAGCTAGAGAGGCGAACTTTGAACCCCACAGTGTGACAGTTATTCATCTTACTAGGTCATTAGCATCTTGATAGCACATTCTCATCGTGTTATCTCTTTTTTGTAAAAGAGAAAGCAATTTTCAGACTCAGAACTTGTGATAAGTGTTGTTGTATAAGAGCCATCGAGTCAGTTCCAACTCAATATATGGTTTCCAAGGAGCCTGCTCGTGAGCTTGAACAGCCAACCTTGTGGTTCAAACAGGCCTTGCAGTCCAGTGCATTAACCCACAGCACCACACCAGGACTCCTTGTGGCAAGTAGCAGCATCTACTTCCCACATCGTCACTCTAGGTGGAAAGTGACAATGTTTTCTGTTTATAATCATGATACTAATCTTTCTTCTAAAACAGACATAACATCAATTTAAAGAAAAAAAAAAAGTTAAGTACGCTACAGAAATACCAAGGATTGAGTGTGATATCGAGATGCCCAAAGTTTGGATGGCATTGTGTTAGATGACTTTTAAGAAGCTTCAGATCTTGATTGTTTGTTTGCTTCTACTTCTTGTATCTGTGCTAAGTTAAGTCATGTGAAAATTGGACAGATAGAACTGTTAGTAAGCATCATGGTGTGATATTACTACATATCTCTATCTTCCGGTGCTACTTTGGATATTTTGATAGGCGCAAAAGGAATCCCGAGATTGGGGTAGCCGGCTATTCTTAGTTCTCCCAACTTTGCATTTCCTAAGTGACCTGCCCATTTAACAAGGTTACTTGGAACACCCCCTTTGTTCCTCACTCCCTCACTAAGGGTGTTCTTAGTATGGGTACAGCATGATTGTTGTTGTTACGTGCCGTTGAGTAGGTATCGACTCATAGCAACCCAACACACAATGGAATGAAACACTGCCAGGTCCTGTGCCAACCTCACAATCATTGCTATGACCGAGCCCATTGCTGCTGCCATGGTGCCAATCCATCTCGTTGGGGGTCTTCCTCTTTTTCTCTGACCCTCCACATTACCAAACATGATATCCTTCTCCAGGGACTGGTCCCTCTTGATAATATGTCCTAAGTGTGAGAGACAAAGCCTAGCCATCCTGGCTTCCAAGGAGCATTCTGACTGTACTTCTCCTAACACAGATCTGTTTGTTCTTTTGGCAGTTCACAGTATCTTTAAGATTCTCCTCCAACACCATAATGCATCAATTTTTCTATGGTCTTATTCACTGTCCAACTTTCACATGCATATAAGGTTATTGAAAATACCATGGCTTGGGTCAGGCACACCTTAATTATCATACTGACATCTTTGCTCTTTTGTAGTAGATTTGTTGTTTGATTTCTTGTCTGCTGCTTCTATGAGCAATGGTTGATGGGAGCAAAATGAAGTTTTTGACAACTTGAATCTTTTCTCCATTTATCTTGATGTTATTTGTTGGTCCAGTGGTGAGGATTATTGTTTTCTTTACATTGAGGTACAACCCATAAGGGAAAGTAGTGTACCCCTGGGTTCCCATCATAAAATCATCTGAACAGCTTAAGCTTACCTTCATCGTTGTATCACTGAGATAACTAAGACTTATTGCTCGTTGCCATTAAGTTGACCCGTGAACAGTGAACGACATGTTGCCTGGTCCTGCACCATCCCCTTTATGGTTGCAGATTGAATCACTGTGACCCATAGGAGTTTCACTGGCTGATTTTTTTTTTCAATGTTTATTGTGAATTATGTGATAGTTTACATGGGAGAACATTAGCTTTACATTCATCCTATAGTATATTGTTTCATTGCCCTGGTTACAATCCCCTCCATGAATCATCAACCAACCAAAGGGTATACCCTGCAAGATTGCCCCCCGGTCGTCAGCACACAGCCCCTCTCCCTCTCTGGGTCTAGAGACCCCAGCTACTCCATCTCTCCATGTCATTGTCTCTGCCTCCATCTCAGGCATCACTGCTTCTCTGGGTAGGGTCCCCCTCTCTGCTCTTCTCCCTTCATGGTCCTAGAGACTTCCGCTCCTAGACTGAAAAGTTAATCACTCCCCTCCTTGCTATAAAATGTCTACCTTTACATTTCCATCCCTCACAATCAGTCCTGATAACAATTATTCACTATTGTATCACAAGAGACCTATACACATTTCATCAGCCCCGCCTAGACAGATTGGATACGACTCAGTGGAGATTCTACCTTCTTCCTCTAGATCTAGGTTCCCTCTTGAAAGCTTGTAAGCCAGTCACATCTTGTCACTAGCTGATTTTTGAGAGTAGATTGCCAAGCCTGTTTTTCTAGTCCATCTTAGCTTGAATGCTCCACTGAATCCTGGTCAGCATCATATGAACACCCAACCCTCCTCTGACAGCTGGTTGGTGACTGCACCTAAGATGTCTTGGCTGGGAATCAAACATGGGTTAAGGGATTGAATAATTAACTGAAAACTACTATCAGCATCTGGATTAAAGAAATCACTCACCAGTCAGCATGAACTGATAGGCATTGTCAGAGATGGAGAAGATGTGGGGAGGAGCCTCCTGGCGCTTTTTGCCTCGGTAGGCAGCCACCACCTCAGGGTTGTACACAGGCAGCCACTTGTAGGGATTGATGGTGACGCAGAAAAGGCCTGAGTAGGTCTGTGGGAAACAAGAACCATGAACTCGCCCCAACCAGATGGTTGGAAAGAAGGGTTTGCCCCCCAGAGGTTTGGAAATTTTGCTTACGTAGATCATCCAGGCTGCGTAGCGCTCTTTGAGGTTGTACAGCACTCCAGGCTCGTGTAGGTGGGTCATCATGGCCATGTCCTCTATCTTGTCAAATTTGGGAGGGTTCATGGGGAACACCTGGTCACTGTTCAGAGTGACTATCTGGGCATTAAGAAGAAAAGTATGTGATAAATGGGAGAACCAATGGCAGGTGTCCTACTTTACTGGTGTGATGCAAGAAATGAGGTATTGTGGTGCAATCACCCCATTCCATGGGTACTTTTATGAAACGTTTCCAAGCCCAGAGATGATCCATAAATAACCATCCTTGATAAACAGAATCTGATCATACTACAAATATGAAACTCCTCAACTGTTAGCTAAAAGGTTGGTTCCATCCATCCAGCAGTGACTTGAAAGAAAATCCTAGCCACCCAATTCTGAGAAATCAGCTACTGAAAATCCAATGGAGACACCATGAGTCAGAATCAACTCCACAATTGGCCAAACTGCGTGATCAACTGGAATGCCACCCGCTCCTCCAAGTCAGTATGTCATGTATATGTTAGGAGTGGGTTACAGATGTGCAGAGCATTAGAGTTCTTCAGCTTTCAGGGTAGTTAAGTGAGACTGAGGATAATGTCAGGGATTGAACTGTGTCCTCCATTATATGTATTGGATTCCTGGGCTTTGTACCTGTGAATGTGGTTTTGTTTGGAAATACGGGTTTTGGTGGGGTTTTTTTGCTGTATTAATGAACAACATATACCTGTATACTGATTGGGGGTATTCCAATTGATCATGCAGCTTGATTCTGACTCAGAGTGACCCCATGTGAGTCAGAGTAGAACTGCTGGGTTTTCAGTGACTGATTTCTCAGAAATGCATCACTAGGCCTGTCTCATTGTAGTTTGATCAGATTTTGTTGTGTTGCCTCTGTTTTTAACAAAGTAAGGTTGGACCCCAAATCTAATCACTTCTAATTTATAAAACAAGCAGAAGAGACACAGAGACACACACAGGGAGGAGACAGATGCGAATGGTCTACAAGTCACAGAATGCCAAGGATTCAAGGAAGACCTAGGGGTTATCAATAAGGTAGGAATTGGCATGACCTAGACCCTGATGTGAACTATTGCGCTCCGGAGCTGTGAAAATAAATTTATGTTTTTTAAAGTCATCCACTTGTGATATTTCTGTGATAGCAATACTGGACGCTAAAACAGGTAGGCAAGGCCAAGGTACGTTGTCTCTGTTTTTACCTCGTCTGTTATGCTGGGGTGATAAGAAGGCTGGAACACACTGAAACACTGAATACATTGAAAAGAAACAGTGTCCTGGGCATTTTCACTTCCATACCACTGCTCACATGAGTTCCTTTCTATGGAATAGCTTCACTGAGAGTATGTCAAGAAACCTTCCAAGCTTAGCTCAAGGGCCATCACTTCCATAACCCATGTTCTCTCTACCCTGCTTCCCCAAGGCTCCCATAATTCCTTGTACTTCTGTTCTAGAAGTTAAAACATTTGGGCTAAGAAAGATTTTGAGACTATCACTCTATTTTTCTCCTCTTTGTGTTTTCTCCTCCTTCCTCCTCCATTCAAGCCTATATGAGGGAGCTTCAAAAAGTTTGTTGAAAAACGGAATGAAAAGATCATGGAATTTTCCACACACTTTTCGAAGCCCCCTTTTATGTGGCTCTCCTGTCTGTTACTTAAGAAGGGTAGAAAATAGGGCAGAAAATAGAAAGAGCCTGATTTTCAAAAGTCTAAGTGTGGCATTGTAGGATAAGCACTGGACTGCTAACATAAAGGTCAGCGGTTCAAGCCCACCAGCTGCTCCTTGGAAATCCTATGCGTTGGAACGCACTCAATGGCACTTAACAACAACAAAAATTCTTAGAAGAATTTGAGGGTTTTGCAGAAAAGGTGAAAGGAAGGGAGTTTGTCGATATAGATTAAATCTCTTAGGCGGTTGGGTAGGAGGATGCCCTTCTGCCCCAACCTCCTAGACTAGAGAGAAACATCCAAGATAGCAAAAGAGGAGACAGAAAGTTTGTGTATCCTAAAGCTTCAGGGACTGGTTCTGTTTTGTGTGGTGTTGTTACGTGATGTCCAGTCAGTTCTGCTTCATAGCAATCCTGTATAGGGTTTCCAAGGAGCAGCTGGTGGGTTTGAACTGTCAACCTTTCAGTTAGCAGTTCAGTGCTGATCCTACAGTGCCATACCAGGAAGGCAGTGTAGCACTCCGTAAATTCTGAATATGTGGCTCAACTGTTGGGGCTAGGGGAGCAGGGGGTGGGTAAGAATAAGTGAAGAAAAAAATCTTTCCAGCTCAATGAAAAGAGGCTTGAACCAGATGTTAAATTCAACTTATAAAAGATAAAAAGAGGATCTGTCCCCTATGTCAGTTTGTGAGTTGAGATTCAGACCCGCCATATGCTTCTTAATTCCTAGGTGAGGCAGTAAACTTTGGAAGGGGAGATGCTGAATTTTCCTTATATTTGCAAAGTGACCAACTCTGACACCTAAACATGGTGGGTGCCCAATAATTATTGAGTTGAACAGTCTACTGCAATTCTATACATTAAACAATGGGAAGCCTCCAGAGTCTCCTCTGTAAGACCAGACGCTCCATTTGGTAGGTCCATCTACCAGCAGTCAACATCTCTTCCTTCAGTAGTCCAACCTCGCCCTCCATTACCTTCTCCTTTCCTCCAAAACAAATACCACAAAACCACTCAGGGTCTATGTCCTCAGAAAGAAAAGAGGCCGGAATTGTGTGTAGTCTTAGCTTTTACCTATGTATTCACTATGGAGTAAATAAACATGGGGTCAGGTTTTGTCTTCAGATTTCTATTGAAGTTTCTAATATCCCACTCAAAGGGAAACAGGGAGGTACACATCATCAAAGACATTCTGACATCATCACTTACCCGGTCGTCTAGGGTCTTGACTGTGACCGTATCATTCTCCCTGTTCTGGATCATCCCTTTCACGTACATTTCCTTATCATCCACTGCAAAGCAGGCTTTCTTAGAATCAAATGGACGGTTTTGAGCCTCAATCCGTTCCTTCTCTGGTTTCCGGAGGTAGGGAGCTGCTTCTCCAAAAACAGCCATCTCCGCGTCAGAGCTCATGACTGCAGGGAGCTGGAAACACCAGGGAGACCACTGAGCCTGGGCCCTGGCCCTGTTATTTTCAGACTCAAAGGCTCCAGGGTTAACTCTTCCCTGAGGGATTCAGGACCAGGCCTAACGTCTCAGAGTGGACAAGTGAGAATGACCAAAGGAGAATATTTTATTCAAAAAAAGGGGAAGTTGCACTTCCTACTGAGTCCCTGGGTGGTTAATGCTCTTGGCTGCTAACCCAAAGTAAGCTTGCTTGCTCCCAGAGGTACCTCAGAAGAAAGGTCTGGTGAGCTACGTCTGAACAGTCACTGAAAATCTTATGAAGCACAGTTCCACGGGGTCCGCTGGATTGAAACTGAGTTGATGCCAGCTCTTTTCTTGTTTTGTTTTATCCTGTTTCCACAGAAAGAGAAATATCTACTTCCACCAAAGTCTTACTTAGATGAGTGGCATTTTACTTTTACTTTGGTCAATGGCTTTGTTGAACAATCTGTGGGTTTGTGGTTAGGTTTTCATAGGAAAATGAAACAAACAAAACAACACAACAACAAAAATCCCACCACCATAGAGTTCAGTCCAACTAACAGCCACCCTACAGGACAATGTAGGCCTGCCCATAGGGTTTCTGAGGTTGTAAATCTTTATAGATGCAAACCAGTACATCTTTCTCCCATGGAACAGTTGGTGGATTTGAACAGTAGACCTTTGGTTAACAGTCAACCGCTTTAAGCACTGTGCCACTAGAAACCCTTGAGTTTTCCTAGAAAGAGACTGGAATATAGCATAGTACTCACAAAGAACTTTCCTGGCCTTTGATCATCATGCTGGTTTAACTTTTCTCAGTTGTTATGGGAGTCCTGGTGTAGCACTGTTGGTTAATGCGCCAGACTGCAAAGCTGTTTGAACTGCAAGGTCGGCGATTCAAGCTCACCAGCTGTTCATTGGAAACCCTATACAGGGTCTCTATGGGTCGGGATCGACTCGACGGCACTTAACAACAACAACAACAACATGTGGGGAATGAAGAAGATTTAACCCAATACTGCTTTTCCCTCTGAGTTCTCCGAGTGTAGTTCCTAGTGTAGTTACTTATGTAGATATTAGTAAAATGGTAGCTTTCAAACTCTGTGCTCTCTAGGCCCTTTATACTTTAAAAAATCAGTTTAACAAACAATGAGTTTGTTTCTGTTGGTCATATCTACTGATACTTGCCATATTAGAAATTTAAGCTGAGAAAACTTAAAAATATGTATGAATTCATTTCAAATAACTATTAAATTCACTGCTGTTGTTGTTGCAAAGTGCTTCTGACTCATAACAACCCTGTCTAGGGTTTCTGAGGAGCAGCTGATGGGTCTGAATCACTGACCTTGATGTTAGCAGTCCAGTGTTTATCCTACTGTACCACACCAGGACTTCATGTTAACATAGTGCATATTGTATGAAAAATGACTATATTTTTTACATAAATTGAGTGAGAAGATTGGCACTACTTTTCATTATTGAAAATCTCACATCTGACTTAATAGAAGTCTGCTTTGTGTTCAGTCTGTTGTTAAATGTGATTTGGTTAAAGTGAATGTAGAAAACCTGATTTTCGAAGTTACATCATTTAGAAAAGGAAACAGTACATATTTTAATAGCCATTTCAAATAATTGTGGATATTACTTAAAACCATGGGGAATCATGTCTGACTTTCCCTGGCTTCACAAGGGGGGAAGAGAAGCAAACTCAAAATCAGCCCAAAGCCGATTCCTATGAAGTGGAGGTCAGCCATGCTTCCACCCTACAACCTTCTTTACCCTTTCCCCACACCAACCATTTCTACCACAGCATCCTCTGCTGTACATCTGGGCTCGATGATCCATTGCAACGGTCACACAGAACTCATAATACTCACGATTTGGGGGTTTATTATTAAGGAAGCCAGCAGGGTACATACGGTTCAGGATCAGAAAAACTCAGGACGCAGCCGTTCTCCAGCCAGGAACGCCTCTTGTCTGCCATATTGCAGGCATGACGCTCTCTTGTTTTTAGCCTCTCAGATAGGCGGTCCCTTGGCTTCTGCCCTGCTCCGGTAGGTGATACAAAGTTCTTTCAGCTTGTCTGTGAATGCCCAAAGCCACTCTCCTGCTTGTAGGCACTCAGCCTTACTCAGTACATGGGTCTAGAACCCCAAGCTGCTGTGTTTCTCCTCTGCCGTCACCTCTGCCGTCACATGACCTCTGCCTTCGCCATATCTTTTGCTTCAACTCATGATCTTCTTTCTTGAGGGTCCTGGGATCTTCCGTCTCTTGCTTCTGAATGGCTCCTATTAGGCTTAGTTTGAGGGCAAAACTAACCAATCCCAGTCTTAGAGTTCCATATACCTTATTTGCATGGTCCCACCCAATCAGCCAATCACCTGGAGTCCCCGTGTGGCGCTGTGGGCTAATGCACCAGACTGCAAAGTTGTTTGGACTGCTCCTTGGAAACCCTACACAGGGTTGTTATAGGTCGGAACCAACTCAATGGCACTTCACAACAACAACCCAATCACCTGGTAAGAATTAAGAAGACTTTGAATAGGAAAGTCATACCAAGTAAATTTAAGTCACCACAATATCCTTCTTTGATATTATATCCAAACTCGACAAATGTTAGCTTCATAATCGCTGATTGTAATGTGGAATCTCAAAGTAACAATGTACATTGTTACCCCACAATCCATATGTCTGCCTTGCATGTTAATTGGCTGGTTTATCCATGTGTGAGCATGATACATCAGTTATTTATATAATATTGGTTCACTGTGTCATTCACAATTTACCAACGTTGATACTTGTCATACAATAGGAAAAAAAATCACATTCTGTGGCATTCACACTAATCTCATCAGAAAGTTCTTTACATATTGGAATCTGTAAAGTTCCTGGTGGCAAATACAAGTTTTCAGAAATTCTAATTAGCCACAAATACTGTCGTTGTTTTGCTTGAAGTGAAAAACACAGTTTGTCCCTTTTCCAGAACACGGCTGCCTAATATCCGAGTCTGAATAAGTTCAGTTTGTTATAGTTTGTCTTGTGAACAAAAACGGTGCTTCTTGACTAAAATGCCTAGCTCATAAGATGCACATGCTCTTTTCCTCGAGATAATCATTAAACTTCGGCATGCTACTTTTGGCATATAACAAGAGTGCTTTATGAGGGCCCCCCATTTCATCGCAGAGAATAATAAAAACACGTTGAGTAGAGATTTAATTAAATTTGTCTTTTTTACGACTGTGATGTTTAAGTCATTCTTTAGTGAAACTGGCCTTTAGATTTTTAAATTGCATTTTATGATTTTCTTTATTAGCATGAGTTGTATGGCAGTAAAAAGGAACTGGCTTCTAGATTTTAAAATGTTATCTTATTTTTTTATTAGTGTGAGTTATATGACAATAAATAAAGAGTACAGTTAAAGTAGCTCTGGTGATGTGGTTAAGTGTTCGGCTTAAACAATACTTTGGCAGTTCCAACAGTTGCTCTGCCAGAAAATGATGCTTCTATAAAGCGTACAGCCTTGGAACCCTCTGGGCTAGTTTAACTCTGTGCTATAGGATCTCATTGAGTTGCCAACAGGGGTTTGATTAGTACAGTTTGGTGCCATGCCTTGATTTGTGCTAGGTCCAGCAGTTTTATACATTTTCTTAAAATGGTTTTTGCACCATTAAGTCAATATAGTGAAAATGTGAAAATAACATCTTAGTATTATTATTCAGTGAAGGCATTGGTGAGTCAGAGTAGATTTCTCATCTCCTATGCGGAAAACCTGGGTTCACTTCTGGCCAATGAACCTCATGTTATGGTCCCACCCAGCAATCACAGGTTTCAGTGGAAATCCCAGACTCCGACCGAGTAGGAAGAAAGGCCTGGTGATCTATGTCCAAAAATTCATCAATGGAAACCTTGTAGGTCATGGTGGTCGGGTCCACAGAGGATCATGGGGATGGCATGAGACCTGACAGCATTTGTGTTCTGTCTTGTGGGCATGGAGTGACCCAATGGTAACTAACAACAACAACGACATTATTATTATGAAAGTTGTTTTGATCCCACACTCCTCCTGAGAGATACTTGGGGGTTTCCAAGAATCTGTTATCACACTTAGAGAATCATTTCATTAGATAGTGTCAGGGAATATTGACAAGTTGCAGTTGCAGGTTTATGGTTTCATATTATTTAGCTTTTCTAGTCAGAAGGGATTCGAAGGTGCACAGCAACATTTTAAACTGTGTGCTCAATATGTTTTTGGAAGACTTGTTATGAGTTCCAATGGAGTCGGTTCCCACATTTTAACAATGTACAGAATAGAATTGCTTCTTAAGGCTTCTTAAAGTTTTCAAGACTGTTATCTTTCTAAAACAGATCGCCAGACATTACTTCTGTGGTACCTCTGGGTGGGTTTGAATCACTAACTTTCAGCTAGTAGAGAAGCCCTTCACCATTTGTATCTTTTAGAAACTCCTATTGAAGACCTGTTGTTAAGTGCCGTTGAGTTGGTTCCGACCCATAGCGACCCTGTACAGGGTTTCCGAGGGTATAAATCTTTACAGGAGTAGAAAGCCTCATCTTTCTCCCGCGAAGCAGCTGGTAGTTTCGAACCACTGACCTTAAGGTTCACAGCCCGATTCGTAACCACTATGCTACCAGAGACTATGCAAGTCTAAATCCCCTGCAACAGAACCTCTGTGATTAGGACCAGGGTCTCTGTGTGTGTGTGTGTCATGCAAAACTGCTTTGTAATTTTTGTTCATTATCTTAATTGCACACCAGGAATGTTTACACAAGAGTTTTTTGTTTGTTTGTTTTTGTTTTTTGGTGATGGTGGCAGGGCTCTGATCTTTTGGAATGGCCTCAAACAGAATGATGTTTGAGAACTATGGGTTTAAAGTACCAATTTACTTCTCTAAAGTCATTCTTTGGAAATCTATGATATAACACTATTGGTTGTACAGAAAAATATTTTATGCAAATATTTCTTAGTT